TTCCCTCACCCCTTCCTTTTCCTCACCCCCCTTCGCCTCACGAACGGCCAAAGATAGTGCAAAGGGGAAGCGTCTCGGGTAGGAGGGGGGGGGGAAGAGAAATGAGAGGCAAACTTCACATATATTATAAGCTTTGGTGACACTTGTGAAGAGAGAGCGCGCGCCAAGAGACATTGTTCTCGACCTCGTTATAGCGAAGCCCCTCTTGCGGCGGAGGGAGATCGGGAGAAAGAGAGCAAGGAGGAGGAGAGAATAAGAGTAAGAGGAAAAGAAGAGCAAGAAGAGAAAAAAAACAAAAGGACGTGGGAAAGGGAAATGAGGAGGAAGAAGGGATAAAGGTAGGGATGGAAAACTAGAAAAGAGGAAGAGGTGAAGCGGAGACAAGGAAGAGGAAGAGCCGACAGAGGAGGAGGAAAAGAAGGAGGGAGGGGGGGGGGCGTGAAGAAGGTGGTCTAACTCCCCCCCTCCAATCTCCTGCGCCAAGTACCTGGTTAAGAACACCTGGGGAGAGACAGCAAGAATGACTTTTTTTTTTTTTTTTTTTTTTTTTTTTACATCTTAAAGGGAAAATGAAGATGTTACAATCTTTCACTGTACATTCCTTCTTCGGTGTTGAAGCCAAATTCAGGCTGATTATTTACGTGTGGAAACGTTTTACATGTTCGCAAACTATATTACGAACACCCGCAAATATTCACACACATATTCACGCACACACACAGGACACACACACACACACACACATACATACTCATAATGATAATAATTATGATCATTATTACACAGACAGAAGCATGCGTGATGCCCGACGCAGTCTTTCGATCGCATCCGCCGCGGCCATCCATCTAAGCGCGCGCGCGCATTCTCTCTTCGATTAAAGAAAGTAAATATAGAGAATGGATAGTGATGGAAACAGTGATAAAAAAGACTGAAATAATGAGACGTAGAAGAAAGAATTAAAATGAAAATAAAAAATATTAATAATATTCTTGTATCGAAACGATTATATCAACATTGCTGAATGATGAATGGAAATAGTGACAACAATGACATCATTATCTAGGATAATGGCGAAAGAGTGACAACAGGCAAAACAAAAACAAAAAGGGTTTGAACAGGATTCGGTTGAAAAAGATAAATAGATGGAATAGAAGAAAACAGAAAAAGAAAATCAAAGTAAAAGAAAATATGCATCCATATACATACGTATACAGATACATATCCGGAAGTATAAGATACATACATACATACTTAAGTGCACACACCCACACGCACACACACACAATTCTACAAACCTGGCCTACAGAGGCAAACCGGCAAGTCTGGTGCCACAACTGACGGCTGAAGATCCCCAAATCTAAAAGGTAATGGCAATAAGAAAATCCGTCTCGTGAACCAAGAAAAAGAATAGATTAATAGAAAAAAGATCACTCAGACTTCCTCCTAAGAAATACGAATAAAAGTCACAGAAAAAAAAAAACAAAAAAAAAAACAGACAAGTTTAGCAATAAAACATACTGAACTTATTCAAATAAAAGTGCTACAGATAGCGCCCCAAGCAAAGCACATCAGGTACGTACATTAGCAGTGAACTTGTTATCTTCCTTATCGTTTCTCGTTGTTCAGTCTGCATTCCTCGCAAATACGGCGGCCGGTTTTCAGCCCCGCGGAGGGCGAGGGAGAGGCAAAGCACATATATATATATTCGTGTTGATGTTGTCACGATGGCGTTTGAGTCCCGCAATTTGGATAAATAGTGCAAAAGGACATCTTAAAAATAAATAAATAAATAAATAAAAAACATAAAAATACTGCAGAAATTAAAAGAAATATATAAAACGGTTACGGCAGTATTTGAAATCAAACGAAAGGAATTCAAGACAATGGAAATTAAATGATCAAATATATGTGTCTGTGTTTGTGTTTATATGATATATGTATATATATATATATANTACTCCTGCGCTGTGAGTATCTAACGTCTTTAATTCATTCCAGAATTAAGGTACCCTATACATTCACACAAGCACCTATAGGCGAAAATGATCAGATGTTTATACTCCTTGGTGTGAGTATCTAAAATGACCGGCCTAAGTGGGAAGCATGAGCAAGATGACAAGAGTTACACCAGTAAAGATACGATACACAAAAAAAACTTATGGTGCAATGTAGAGAGATGCCAAAAGAGCCCTTTGCAGTCCTTGAGTAATGGGTAATCTATTAAATTTTATACAGCTTTATTCATAAGAATTATTCAATCTTATAAAGTCCATCCTCCCATGGCATTGGGCAGAAAGATATTATGTGAAAATCATGTACCTCAAACTAAATATCGGTGAAACTTAGACACTTACATTTTAAGAGACTCTCATAATTTGCCTTTACAGAAGAAAATGATGTGCTGCACACCTATTTACTATTAGACTGACTAATGAATTTGGTAAAAAAATTATTGCAGTAAATCAGTGGCTGCTGGCAGAATTTCCAATATGTGGAATACAGGAGTAATGTCACACATAACATAGTCAGTTTCATAATGCAGGGATGGATAATATTGTGACATGAAAATATCATCATATAGAAAACAAGAAAAATTTAGAAACCATTGATCCAATGCTACCAGGAAAATGTAATGTTCCCTATAGTTTTGTTATATCTCTCTATACAGATGGCTCCACAAGTGCTTAGCTACCAACGAGTCAATTCATAAACCTCATGACCTCATATGAATTCAATTTCTCTTGAGTTGTCAGGAAAAAAAAAATTCTTTTAACTAATGCTATCAATACTGATACTATTATTATTAATACCATAAACATTATAATCATTATGTTAACAGCAATCACGTGGCCCAAAATACCAGCATTAGGTTACGTGATTGGGTGCTCTGACGGGTGAGTGGCTTGTAGGCTGGGCGAAACAAACATGCATGCAGTGGCAAGAATCTATGCCTGCACAGACTCCATATCATCTCTCTTTGTAGTCCTTAAGTCAGTGCACAAATAACAGCATTTTGTGATTAGTCCTTTTTCTTTAATATTCAATTTTCTGTAATACAACCAGCGGCACCAGTCATGGCTGCCAGGAATAGGATGCTGAGCAAGGAAATGGTGTTCTCTGTGGAGCCAACACTCTTCCAGTCATGGCTGACAGACTACATTCCCCATTTATTTATCCATGGAAATAATGCAAAAGCCCCTTTCTAAACCCCAAATCAGTCTAAACATCCTCCAAGAGATTTGTGCATTGATATATATATATATAAAATATATATATTAAGTCTTTCCCATCACTCTTCAGCCTAAACACTCAAACACCAAGTTCACTTCGCCCCAGCCCACAGCCAGATTTCACCATAAAGTATGTACACATCAACCACCCCTAAAACCAATTTTTTCATGATTTGATGGTCACGTCATCCAGATCACAAGGGTTAAGATTACTAATAGCAATATAAGATAAGAGAGTACTTCCAAAAATCAAGGAAATGGGTAAACAGGTGAGATAGGTAGTACTAGTAATTGACTCTCTGGTGACAAAGCACTTGTGGAGCTATCACAGTGTTAATACAATAAATAAACCAAATTCACAGTGGGCATGCCAAGTACAAACATGCTGTCCCCAACAGCATTGGCTTAACTGTGTATTATCTAATTCAAACTATTAACAATCTACAGCTTATATGGACAACAAAAATATCATTGCCATAAGCTACCATCAATAATGCAAAGGGTTATAATGTCATGTCACAGATATTATGTGAAAATTCTGTCACATGACATTATAACCTCTTGCATAATAATGTCAAGTAACAGAATTTTCTGTCCTAGAATAAGAATGTTCCCCTATAGTTTCAGCCCTTTATCCAGGTATATGCAATGACCTTAAAATAGGTGATGCATGGTGAGACTTGAACTAACAAATCTGATGCTGCCTGTCATTATCTGTTCATAATTTGAAAGGATTCAGAATATCTACCCTTCAGTATCTGGTATGAGAATATCTATCTTCTCTATACAAAAAAAAATAAATATAGATCCTGAAAGTGAATCACTTTAATAACACTGTGTATATTTACCCTTTTTAGAGCTAGCTTCCATTAACAGATTCACTTTATCTAGTTCTTCCTTCAGTTCTTTGACAAGCAAATTTGACTGCTGAAGAGCTTCTGCACTTTCTTCCTCTGCCGCCTTCTTGGCACGCTCTAAACATCCATATTGCTCACTGGCCTCTTGTAAGAGTTTGCGTAATTCTTCCACTGCCTTCTCCAACTCAGTGCAACGCTCTTTCTCATCCTGGCAGGAACCTGAAGGAAAAGAGACACCATTTACAAAGTGGCAGTACCTCTCATTCCCTATTACTACTGTCTATTGCTTGTATTCACAGATACTTGTGATACCTTACATGGAGAACCAGACCAGGATCTGACATCCACCAGCCAATCACATGAAGCCAGACCAGTTCTCCATTTACAGTGTCAGAAGTGTCTCTGAACATGTGTGTATGACTTGATCATTTATTCAATCAATCACTTGTTCATTTTCTCTGTAAGGCCCTATCTCACACTTTTTATCAATTTTAACATTTCTGAATTTGAGGTTTTCTGCATGTATCACTTGCAAACAAAGCACCTCCCACATGAAGACAGTTGCAACTTTTTCTGTCTTGATATTGTACTATGGAAGTTCTATCCAACTAGAATGTTTTGTTATTGATAAATTAAACATAATAAGTTGATGCAAACAGAAAGTTAATATTTTAAAATATTTCTATATGTAATATACCTAATTACATCTCTTTAAAATAAAGTAATATGTATGAGAATGCTTGTATGATTCCTGGACCTCACTCAGATGGTGCCACATTTGTTTACACATACATATTGTTTGCTACCTTTTGATAGTGTGATAGGGTCAGTCCAAAGCACAAAAATTGACAGGAAAAGAGCTAGTGTGATCAATTTTTTACATTCAATTACTCATCAATTCTTTCACTCAAACATATAAAAACTAGTGTATATATAATAATAGTAATGGTAGAGTAGTAACAGCTGAAAAAGCTCTCATACCAGTACATGAAGAAGTGGCACAAACATTAGCAGAAACAGATGTAGAGCACTAGTAGTAAGAGGAACAGAAAAAAAGAGACAACAATGAAAGACACAAAACAGCAATAACTGAAGCACTTAGAAAGTACACATACATACCTTGATAAATGTCGGCAAGTTTCTTCTGTGCCACAAGCTCTTGGCGGTAAGTTTCATCTAATTTCATTTCTGATTCTCTGGAGGCATTCAAGGCGGACAAAAGTTCTTCAATCCTTTGTGATTTCTCTTCTAAGCCCTTTTGTACCCTCTCATTTTCCTCTCTCTCCACTCGTAACTGGCAAAAGCAATGAGAATATAATGATGTTTGTAATACAAATATATCAAAGAGTATATGTATGAGTATGCGTATATGTGCATATGCATGCATGTGAAAATGAATAAGAATGTTAACTTATTATAACAAGAAGAAGACTATCTTCAGTCAGGATAATCATAATATTATCACATCAGTACATAAAATTACAGAGGAAAATTGTACATGTTATAAGATCTACACTATAGAGTGAAATCATATAACTCTTGACAGAAATATAGTTCACAGACTGAATCTGTTTAATAGAAATCATGGTACTTTCAATGTTAAAAAGAGAATAAATCTTAGTTGTAATAGTGGTCATGATTTCAAGATCATCTTCGATATGATTAAAAAATTTAATAATTAACCCTCACGATCCAGGTGACGTTACGGTCCCATCATGGAAAATCTGGGGCGAGAGCCGGGTGAAGTGAACATGCTGACATTAGACAAAATAGCCATGGGATGAGTGACAGGTAGGGTGACAGAAAAGACTTGCCATGAGTGCACAAACCTCTTGGAGTGTGATCAAACTCATTTGGCATTTAGAAGGGGGCTTTTGCATTATTACCCATCGATAAACGAATGTGGAATGTAAGGTAAGCCATGACTGGAAGAGCAACAGCTCCACAGAGGATACCATTTCCATGATCCACATCATATTCCTGAGTGCTGTAACTAGTAGCATAAGTTGTATTGTAAAAAATTGAAAATTATGATAAAATAAGATATACAACACAAATAACCAAATGTTACTTTTTTGGTTGGGAGGGGGGGAGCTGAGTCATTTATTACATAGAGAAATGATATGGAGTCTGTGAAAGGAAAATAATCTATTACCATGTGGATAAAGAAATCAAAAGACAAATATGGAAATTGAAAGATAGCAAAAAGGCAAAAAAAAAATACATAAAATAACTTTGTAATTTGGAGATATAGTTTTGTCACTGCTCATGAATGTTCATATACCCCCAGCCCCCAGCCTACGCGCTGCACGCCCAGGATATTGGCCAATTACACAATTCACTGCCCGTATTTTAAACACCATGATTTCCGTGATGCAACTGGATCCAATGGGTTAATTAATTAACATCTAGTATATTTAACAGCTGCATATGTGTTGCTACAATACTCTAATACATGCAAAGTGAATTCCCCAGTATGGTGCTATATTGAAATAACCATGTCCTAAAAAAAGGTCCTCAGTGTGAAACAGAGCAAAGACAGGTTTACCTCTTCTAATTTATGGTTGAGATCTGTCTGTAATCTAAGAATAGTAGTCGAATGCTCCCTTCGTTGGTTAACACTCTCCTCCACTCTCTGTTCTAACTGCTGTTGAAGGCGATCCACCTGGCGTGTCAAGAGACTACGTTCTTGCTCTAGTCTCTTCTCTCTGTAAATATAATTTTTCATGAAAGTAATTTTCTAAGAGATATTTAGATATCAAATGGTTTTACCTTTACCAGAAAATGGTATAGTTAATCATTTCATTTATGCAATAATATTCTTGAAAGTTACTGACTTGTACTGCAGGTGTAACTCCCTGCTCCCAGCTTCTTCAGCCCTTATGACAGCTTCACATTTTGCTCGTGTTACTACTGTCAATTGTTCCTCAAGCTTTTCCACCTAAAATTAAAACATAGAAATCATAGTTATCATCATAAACAATTTGCAAAATTCTTCATTTCCACTGAAATCGGATATAGTTGACTATAGCTAATCAATTAGCAAACTATCTTCACATTGGCAGCTCTCTTCATCCTAACAACGTTTAAAGCAACTGTCCATAAAAAATGGATGTAGAGAGTTCATTCTTGATATCTGGTTTGACTTTTAGTTTCTGAGTTATAGAAACAAACATACAAATAATTCTCATGAAAAGGGGCAAATCTAGACCCAGTACAACAAGACTGGTTGTTTCTTGTCTTAGAACATTTTTTATAGTGTTTTCTATTCGCATCGGTAATTCAACACTTGTAAAAGTATCTGAAACTGACCATAAGTAATTTTTTATCATTCTAACCTAAAATCTCCCCCCTACCCAGGGACAATATCCAAAGAGTTAATTTACAAGCTTTGATCCAATACATTAGACACTGAATATACATTGACATTTTCTTTGTCAGACTTCAAAGGATTGTGTCACAACCCTCAAAGGGCTTGCAGAAGGATTGTGTCACAACCCTCAAAGGGCTTGCAGAAGGCTAGATGGCAGGTTGCAAAGCCTTGGGGGGAAAATAATGCCCAATTTACTAAGTATCTGTCACTACTCATATCACTTAAAGGAAAAATATATTACAATGAGAAAAATAAAGCTTGAACATAATGCTGAATATCTCAATTTCCTTAACCTAAGAATTATATCAAGTGCTCATAGATATGGCTGAGATTTTGAGAAAGGGATCATGAGTGTATAAAGGATATGAACCACCGGTCTAGTATATTTCTGAATATCCCCAAATAATGAAACTCACAGCATAGCTAAAAAACATATGTGACAAATGATCTCTTCTTGCTGATATGAAAAATTACCTGTTCTTGTAGTTCTTGTATTCTTTTATTTCTCGACTCCAGGCTACCAGCCATAGCAGCAGACTGTGTTGATGCATTTTCTTGTTCACTGTGTGAACTAGAAAGAAAAGAAATGACAATTCTCTGTAGCTCTAAAAGCATTTTGATATTAACCAGTTGGGTTTCAGTCTTGAATAT